TTATTGAAAGATTTTGAAAAAACTACAATAAATTTTGAAATTCGTTGAAGACTTGAAAAATCTTCATCGAATTTTATAATCCATTGAATACGATGGATTTTAAAATTCGTTAAAGAAAATGAAATATAGAATTTTTTGAAATATAAAAGATAGTTTAAAAATTAGAAACAAAATGTGAGAGTACAAATAGAAATGTGAGATGGTACAGAGAGAAACCTTTTAGCTTTCGAGGTGGAAGACCCAATGACCGATATTGTTGGGCCCAAACTAGTTGTATCTAACTACTCCTGCCATCATTAACTAAGCATAAGCATGTGCGAAGCAACCTGGTAATTATATTTTAAATTCCTAATCTTTTGTGTATTTTGTATAAAGAGTTTTAAGCAAGATTAGGATTAAATTATACCTACACCCACTGTAAAACATATCTATGATGGGTTTCATAATCAAGATGTGGATGAGTATTTTTAATAAAAACTGCGTGTAAAAGATATTTTTAAAATAAAATTGATATTCCGTCTACATCTCTGTAACTCTGTAGTTACAACTCAATTTATTTAGATCAAAACATGCGTTACGGAGAGGATTGTTATTATGTTATTATCACTTATCTTTCATACAGTATACTATATGTTTCTTATTATTTTCCTTTTTGGGTAATAGCTGTATATAAACTAAAAGAAAACAGCGATATTAATTTATAAAAATGTACAACGTTGCATATGGGTACCTAATTACAAGCTGGAAAAAATAGGTACATATGCAGACATTAAAAGTTTGGAGAAACTAAGAATTAAATAAATACAAAAATAGGTCACTTTCATGACCAAAAGGATCCCCATGCTACACGGAAGCAGAGATTAATACTCACCGCCCTAAGGACAACGGCACCGTCCCACCTTTCTATTTCAAAATTCCCCAACAAAAAATTATTCGATATGACCCTCTTCCCTCCTAAAATTCTACCAATTTTCTCACCAATCACTCGCATCCGATGAATCTCAACCTCACGAAACTCATCACACTTTTTCTCCTCTTCATTTCAATAAATTCTTTAACTAATCATAAGAGAAGACTAAGATTTTTTTTATGCCATTTGCATTCCAATTCCTTGGTACAAAACTGAAGGCAAATTGGTCAATCATGATCATGGGGATCAGAGGCAGACTTCAGTCTCTAAATTGTTCAAAATGGTAGCCACTTGAGCGACAGAAGGCCTACATTTCCGTGAGTTACCGACACATGCTGAAGCAACTTTGGCTAATCTAACCAGAGGCTTGGTGTCAGAAGGAATCACCAACCTAGGATCTAAAAGTTCACTAAAACTTGTTTCTCTAATTAAAGGCAATGCCCACTTCACCAACAACCCTCCCTCACACCCTTTCCCAGTTAAAAGCTCCAGCAGGACTACTCCTAAACCATAAACATCACTCTCTTTGGTAGCTCCACCACCCCTTCTTTCACTCCAATATTCATCATCCACATACCCCACCACTCCTCTCTTTTCCACAGGTGCCAAAAAGTTAAGACCATAATCACAAATCCTAGGACAAAAGTTGACATCAATTAAAACATTTGAAGACTTGACTCGCCCGTGTACGATGTTTGGTGTTGCCACTTCATGCAAATACTGAAGCCCTCTCGCTGTTCCTGCTGCAATTCTGATCCTCTTGTTCCAATCCAAAAGTGAAGCCCCGTCTTGGTTTTTATGCAAGTAGAAGTCCAAGCTCGCCATGTGCACAAACTCCATCAGAATAACTCTCTCACCCGGTGCTTCTGAGAACCCTATGATCGGAACTACGTTCGGGTGTTGAGCCAAGGAGAGCCATTTCAACACGGATGAGAAACCAAAACCTGCATTGCTCAACACGAGAACGGGGTGAATCCTTTTAACGGCTACCAGCTCTTCTTTCTCCAGTGTACCCGCATACACGGTTCCCAAGCGACCCTGCCCGATGATTCTCCTGTGGTTGAAGCCGTCGGTGGCGGCATCAACTTCCGTCAAGGGGTATGCACGAGCACACAACTTCACGGGAAGTGTTTCTTCGGATTCAACGGGTTTCTTCTTGCAAGCCAGGAAGAGGATGATGGCAAGAACGATGAGAGATACGGATAGAGTGATCATGACCGTGTCATAAGCGATATGCTCCGCAGCGTTCATTTTGAGTGTTTTGAATGGGTTGGTTTGAAGGGTATGGTGTGGTTTGTGATTGGCAGTGATGGGTTATTAGTGGTTGAAGGAAGAAGGTGAGATTGGATGGTTCGTGGAAGAGGTGTGTGTGAAAAGAAGCTTATATACATATGAGTTTGATGGGGAGATATCAAACAGTTGGAAGATAAGTTGAAAAGGAAAAAAGAGAGAATATGCTTGACAAAATGGGTGGATGGATAGATGGATCGGTCGGATTAGTTGTGGTAGTTGATAGCTGGCAACCCTACCTCTCATATTATCAACAAATTGTATAATTTTTTAACTAATTAACATACAACATCAACTTAATCAAATATACAATGAATTGTATGGAACGAACTATTGCTTGCCAACCATATAAGAAATTCATCTAGCAAAAATCGACGAATACTCGGCCTAAATAACTCATTTGTTAATTAATATTCTTAGATTATAAATCGTAATTGAATTAGCTCTAATTAAAAATTCATTTCAAAATCTATAAATACATAGATAACATAATAATTGTATTTATTAGATATTTAAGATTTAATTGTAATAAGATAACTGAAAACTAACTTGTGAGAGTGTCAGCATGTATCTACTACTCGGATTTAAACTCTGCAAAAAGACAATTGGCATGTAAAAAAAGAAAAAATGAAATTAAGAAAAAATATAAGATTATACTGTAAAAGTGTAATTCTGGAACGAAAAAATAAAATAAAATTGTGAAAGTGTAATTCTCTGTCCTTCCTTACGGACAGACATTGTAAAAGTATTATAAGATAACTAAAGTAATTTAACACTCTGTGAGCAAGCCTTTAAATGCTCAATTAAAACCGTTCGATTATTGAAACAACCTAATGTTATTTTTATATCTTACCGATTGTATGTGTACGTGGGACAATCTATGGGCTGTGTAATACTTTTAAATTATATTATCTCCACCAAAGTTTGTTCATTGCATACAAATTTCTTCTCTTTTGTTTTACATTTTGTCTCCTACTACGTATTGTTTATACCTTTTTGTGTACGGAGATTGTTATTCGCCTGGAAAACAGGAGGTTTGGTCGTGTGGTGCGTAGAGCAATATCTGAAGACAATCCAATTAGAGACAGCTTAACAATTGTGTGTTTCCATTTGGGTAGGTACAAGTTTAGAAAATTGTTGATTTAAAACATTAAAGTATTGTTCTCGTTTAAAACTAAACATTTTAAATTCAAAAATAGAGAAACTAATGACATATTTTATTTTCGAGGAAACAAATTCATTTAAAAAAACACATGCATTCAATGTATAAAATTATGTTGTAAATAAATCAACTTATGGCCCATAAGCGATTGACCATTTGAAAAAAAAAAGAATATATAAACTATTTAAAAATAAATAATCATGAGTTCTTTAAATGGGGAAACTGATTTAAATGGTAAAGATACTGAAGAAAAATCGGTGTTTTTCATTATTAGAAAAACAGTATATTGAAAAAATCTTTTCACTTTCAAGAACAAGGATCTGTATTATTATTATTATACACAAAGAAAGGTACGAGAATGAAATATCTGAACTCTCTTTCAAATTGAACAGTAATAATAATAATTGACAGAGATAATAGTAAAAAAAAAATAACAACAAAAGAAGATGCTTTATCAAAAGGTATAATTGAAAGAAAGTGATAATAATAGAATAACAATAGTATGAAGTGAAGCAGAGAAAATTAAGAAGTGTATTGGAATGAAGCAATTTCCCGCCAGAAACATAGCTATAAGGCTACAGGCCTGTAATGGAAACCACAAAATTGGTGAGAAACCTAGGTTGGGGCCCATTGTGTCTTCATGATGATGTTGGGCTTGGCTCGTAGCTCCGATAAGGCCCACCAATTAATGGTGTGAGATGTAATGAATCTCTCATGATGCTTCTTCTTCAGCTTGTATTATTTTTGTAATCAGACAACCCGGAATCTGGTTGCTGGATTTGGTGGAAGGATATGTTGAGTGAGGTTATGAGAAAGAAAGAAGCGATAAAGTGGTAGTAATAATATTAATAGTAACAGTATTAGTATTGCCCCACATCATGCTCTATCTTCGAAACTAAAATCCAACATGTTCGATAATGAGTGCATGATATAAGGTCAGATCAGACATGTATCATCAAAGTTGAAGGAGGAATCTGTAGTGTGCAACAGGTGGCCATACATGGAACCTCTGATTCATGCTCCTATGAATCACTTTAGATATTATTATAATTGCTCTAACTAAATATAACAACGTAAAAACTGAAGGACTCAATTAAGTAAAATAATTATATTAAAAAAAATAAAATGAGTTAATTGAAAATCCGAAACCAATTAAACCAGCCAATCAGAACCCAAAAACAATTAACAAAATCTTAAAGAACCAAAAATGAATTTTATGAAAAGATAACAAAAAGAAAAATAAAATTTACCCCAATTATTACACGCTACCATCACATTAAATCCCTAATCCACTTATAGTGATCGTGATTATCACCTGACGTGATCTCTAATAACGTGGAGTAAAAAATATTAACAGATAAAGTTCTAAAACCTAAAGCTCAATAAAAGTTGGTTTAGTAGCTAAAGTATAAATATTTCAAAAGATACAAATGACAATACAGAACCAAATATAAACCTAAAGCTCAATAAAAAAATTAGATCATTTTTTTATAAACCAAATATGGGCCGGGCCAAAACAGAATTACTCAGCCCACATTATCGTCATCTCTCCAAGTTGAGAAATTGACACTATATTTTGTAAAAAGAAAACTAAATCACTTTCGTTTTGGTAGAATTTAAACCAAAAATAACATATTAATCAAATAAATTGTAGGCTCTTTAAATTGAATTGGATGGGAGGGTTTATTATGATGTCTGTGCCATCAGATGAACAGCAATAGGTTTTATTATTTTGATGATTGGGCCCTTAGGTTAAATTAAAACCCTTCGTATAACTCAGTGGCTTTATCGGCTCATGAAACACAGGGAAAGCTTCGAAACTGTCATCGGTGGCGTAACCAATTTCTTCAAAGTTTTCTACTTTGCGAACAAAGATTAAACCGCTTCCTGAACTCACATACCTGGTTCGTTCCATCCCCCATTCATTCTCGCTGTTTCTACTTGCTACATGCCAATCAATGTGTCGCAATTCTTGTTACTTATATTTGCCTCTTCTTTTATCCTAAATTTCTCTATGTCAAAGTTATGTTTGGAAAACACAGGTTTTTATTTTTTTTTTTGTTCAGGGTTGGTCAACTTTTCATCGTTGTCTTTTACTTTAATAAGTTTTGTGCTGCAGTTTTCTTTTCTGTGTATTGTTTTGGGCCTAATATAATGCATAGGATTTTCGTTGATGTTGTCTTCAACATTGATTTGAGTGCTAAAACTTTCACTACAGATGACTTATGTTATTGGTTCTCTCTTTTTGGTTATCAGATAATTGTGTTTTTTGACTACTTCAAGACTTGAAGACTTCTAAGATGTTGGCCTGTCATCCTGAAAAAAAGTTATCATTTAACCGATCAATTAGTGATGGCGATTTGGTTATTGTTTATGAAAAGCATGAAAGCATGAAGGCTGTTACTGTGTGTGAAGGTTCAGTCCTGCAGAATCGTTTTGGTGTTTTTAAACATTCAGATTGGATAGGAAAACAGTTTGGGTCTAAAGTATTCAGTAGTAAGGGTGGTTTTGTGTACTTGTTAGCTCCCACACCAGAATTGTGGACTCTGGTATTAAACCACAGGACTCAGATTCTCTATATTGCGGATATTAGTTTTGTTATCACATACTTGGAGATTGTTCCTGGTTGTGTGGTTCTTGAATCTGGGACTGGTAGCGGATCTTTGACTACTTCACTTGCAAGAGCAGTTGCTCCCTCAGGACACGTCAATACCTTTGATTTCCATGAGCAAAGGGCCGAATCAGCTAGGTAAAAAAATAAGGAAGAAGTAATGTGATTTTCTATATAGAAATTGACATAATATCATGTTTGGTATTAGCATATTTGCGTGTTGCTTTCTCCTGCTTCTTCTGGCTTTCTTCTATGGGTCTATTTTCACTATCATCCAAAATGGTGTGCTGACATGTAATGAGATGATAGCAATTAAAACATTACTTTGGCCGTGGATGAAATTTAAACTTGTTTTATTAACTTTGCACCGTGGTTTTATTATTCTTATGAAATTGTGGGCAAGATATTCGATGTTCAGAGACTCTATAGTTCATAATTTAAAATGCTAATACCGGAATACTCTGGTATGCTCTTAGATCTTACCATGATTCTTGTCAGCAGGATCTAGCTTGATAGGATGCCTACCTAGAAACCAATCTATAATTTTGCCCTGTAAATTACTCTTTTTTTTTATTCACTTAATTTTTGTCATCCTGGTAGGGCTGATTTTGAGAAAACAGGTCTAAGCAGCTTAGTCACGGTGAAGGTTAGGGACATTCAGGGTGAAGGATTCCCTGATGATTTTACAGGCATGGCTGACTCTGTATTTTTGGATCTACCTCAACCTTGGCTTACCATTCCTTCAGCTGCAAAAGTGTTGAGACATGATGGCACATTGTGCTCTTTCTCTCCTTGTATCGAGCAAGTACAACGAACATGCGAAACACTCCGAACCCAATTCACAGGTAGTTTTGCATTTTCTTCTCTCTGTCCCCCCTCTATATTTCCCTAACTTCATAATCTTTGTGTGCTTGAATTAGACTGATAGAATACCCATGTAAATTTTTTCCTGTGTACAAAGACATAAGGACATTTGAGGTGCTTTTACGCACGTATGAAGTTCGGGAAGAGAAAATGCAAAGCCTAAGTGGGGATGGGGATGATTCTAATGGTTCTGTTCCTAGGAAGAGGAGACAATGCTCTGATGGAAGCTATCTAGTCAGCGGCAGTCCTTCTATTTCTTCTGTCATGGCCAGACCTTGTGGTGAAGCTCGAGGTCACACAGGCTATTTGACATTTGCAAGAGTCAAATGCGTCTCATGAAGAGTGTTCTCATGTCCATCACAATTTTGTATCTCCTTTCATATAGAGCCTCATGCAGAGATTGTTTTTGTTCGTTATAGTAGGGTATGCTCATCGTCCATGCCTTGCTACAAGAAGTAAGGCCTACCTCTTTGCAGACTAGTAATCATTAGTGGCTATTTTGTGCTTCTTCATATTCTTTACAGATATTTAGATGGATCAAGTTTCTTAACATATTAACATTGCTTCAGCAAAGTGGCAAAAGACTTGTCACTATTGATTGATTTGCTCACTCCTATTGCGTGAGAATTTCATGTTTAGACATTGTCTTTATGTAGCAGTATACAGTATGCTGAAAGTAAAAAACTGAACACTTTTCCCTTTACTCTTTTAAGATAACACTTTCTATTAGAGTTTTGAGCTTGCAGAATTAGGAATAGCAACCAGAATAATGTTGTGACGTTTTATAGTTAGAATGCATTATATATCTAATTAAAAGATTTGAAAGAGAAAAATGCAAGATGTTATGAATTCAATTCTTTCCACTAAAAATATATTAATAATTCATATTTGTTAATAAAAAAAAACCTTCTTGAACTTCACAATCACGATTCTTGAACTTTTCCTTCTCTCCATCTTCTCATTCCTCTATCATAGAAGTGGCTGTGTTCTCATTCATTTTCCATTGTAGTAGATGCATTCTCCTTCTTAACCCATAGCAGCAGTCACATTCTCTTTCTTCTCCAATTATTGTATCCGCATTCTCCTTCCTCTCCCATAGCAGCAGCCGCATCCCTTGCACCCTAGTGGCTGCTGTTTAAAAGTATACATTCTGGACTATGCATTTCGGAATTCGGGATGTATTTTCATATCCTGAAAGTATATTCTGAAATATGCAATGCCTATTTTACAGGTTTCCTCCAACAGAAAAAAAGAAGCAAAGATAACAGATGTTGGATAATTCTTCCCTTTATTTTATAAAGAGACTCTTGTAAGAATAGTAATGTCAATAGTCCTAAGGGATACGTCACACAACTGAGAAGCAGATGTTAGAGAAATTCTAAAAACTTGAGAAAATACTACTTTTCCCTTATCCTTATCATTGTTTACTTCATTATGTTTTTAACACTGCAATCGTAGTTATTAATGTATTTAGGTTTGGTATTGTGACGTTTTGTTCCTGATCTTACTACTGAGCTTGAGCTGTTCACTTGTTTAATTTTACAGAGGTTATAAGATTGACTTAATTGTAAAAGTAAAAAATAGAGAAAAATGGTGAGTTCAATTCTTTTATTAATATTTAAAAGATATAAGAGTAATTGGAAAGATTTAAAAAAAAGGACGAAAGATTTTATGATTTCAATTCTTTTCACTAACCAAGTACTCATAATTAATATTTGTGAATAAAAAAAAATTGTTGAACTGCAAAATAACGATTCTGTCCCTTCTTAGCCATGACAAGAAAAATCCGGAACATGTTAAATTTTTTTTAATACATTCCGTAACGTATTTCTACTTTTCCGTTGAAAAAACAACTAAATCAGAGTGTATAGGGATGGATGGGGCGTATGGGGGTGTGGCTACTACTATGGTAGAGAAAGGAGAACCATGTCGGTGAGAAGAAGGAGAAAGTAGTATTATGATTAATTTTCAATAAAGACAAAAATGTCTTTTCACTAGACTCACCTCCATGCATTTACTTCTTCACCCATATAAAATTAATTTCCCATTTTACTACCCTTTGGGAATGATGTAAATACTTGCATGATTTTGTAAACTAACAACACCTAAAGATATTAATAAATATATTAAAATAATATTATCTTATGTGCAAATCCAATTTTAAATATTTCTACTTTTTAATAGCCTCTAACCTTGCTAAATTCTGAAGTAAAACAAACATTTTAACACTGTTTCAACACAGTTTATTATTTTTAAAAAAATTAGTATCTGTCCCATACATTAATTGCTTGCTAACTAATTACTTTCCAAAAAGAATTTATATTCTTTCTTAATTTGCGTTTTGATAAATTATTGTGTAATATAATTAATTTTCTTTTCTTTCCTTTATCCAATGGAAACATATGATAAACAATGAGTAGCCAAATAAAACTTATAATAACTGCTTCACTTGGTCCTTGAATGGACAGGTGGCTTGCTTCTAGGCCAACCATTTATGACTCATCACTTGTCTTGAATTTACCACTCATTTATTAGTATTACCCACGGTCAACACAAAGCAGTCGCAGCTTTGAGGAGCCAATGAACTCATGTTATGTTCGGAGGATTATTATATAAATAATAATAATTAACATGATATAATTTAAATTAACTAATTTAACTTATAATTTTAAATTTTTTATTTTAGTTCTTTATTTCATTACACTATAAAAAAAATAAGAAAGCAATTAATTATTTATTAAGTTAAAATAAATTTTAATTTTTTTAATTGTCTATTTTTATAATGTAGAGAGGGGTGTGTGAATCGCGTTGCATTTGGCACCAACTTCCGCACGACTAAAAAGAAACAAAAGGCCTGCATACAATGGAAACGCATAATCGGAAAAGCTTAAAAACTGAGTTATCCAGCGTTGGATCTTAGTGTAGGTTAGTACAACTCTTTTTACAGACAACTGAAGAGTATAGTACCCGATGCTGCTGAATTGATGAGCTAAAAGATCAGTATTGTAATGCAGTGATGATTATACAAATTGGTACCCTTCTGCTACATTCATAGCCCATCATCATTTATCTTATGTACTGGTGGTAGGCATGACAAATAGATGGAACCTGCAATTAAACAAGATGGCCCACGAAGGACAAGGTCTGTCCAGCCACCTCATTAACTCAACTCCCATAGCTGTACCCTGCTCATACTTCACACCACTGCCACCACAAGTAAATCTTATGCGGGAACATCCACACAATTACAAACATTTAAGAATGATTTAGATACAGATTCCCCCAATCCGGTGATAATTTTTCCATCACGTGATTGAAGTTAACCCAAATTACTACAGAGCTGATTTTCTACTACAATTTTGACCCACTACTGATTTTACCATTCAAACATTCACCTGACCCACACCAGACCGGTCACGTCTATTCTAATCTTTAACAGTCAGAATATGGTTTCTGAATATACAAGAGAAATTAATGCAGACACCAATTTGAACCTTGTAGGGACGCGCCTCGATGTCAAGCAACTTCAGAGGGCAAAAACTTGAACTTACTCTTCTTTCAACCCCCAAAAAAATTTATGTCCCCTTTTGTAGCCAACGTTGTGAAGCAAACCATGGCCGAAAAAACAGCAGGGGGAATTTGGCTCTGTTAAGTTAAAGAAAAGATTAGACCTTTCCGCTCCCGCTCCAAGAACTTGAACTAAGCAAGACTTCCATGATCAGACCCATCGTCATAGTAATATGGGGACAACTTTCCATCTTTCTTGGCTGGTTTCGTTAGGTTCTCTATGCCCACCTCTTGTAACATCTTCACCACTCTTCTCATCGCAGGCCGGTTGATTGGAAGAGGACTGGTGCACATGAGGCCAATGTTGAGGACCTTGCAAATTTCTTCTTTGAAACAAGAATCAAGCCTCGAGTCAATCACATGCTCCACGCCTTTCTGGTCCAAGGTGGTGCACGCCCACATAACCAAGTCTTTTTCCCCAAATTCAGGGTCAATGGGTCTCCTTCCCGTAACCAACTCAAGTACGACAACACCAAAGCTATATATATCACTCTTCTCATTAACTCTGAGTGTGTATGCATATTCTGCAGAAGGAAAGAATCATATCAGTTTGACTCCATTAAGACTATGAAACTGATCGCTATTGTAAAAAATAAAATAACGAAATGACAACTTCCTAAGCAAAACAAACCATTTGATACCAAGCATAATTTTCTGATTAAAATTGGTATAATTCATTCACATTGTTTCTGTGGGCATAAATCTTCTCCGTATACTTATAGACGATTATCTTTAGATTTAAAGGTTTCTCAAATTAATATATGATAGCAGTGATTAGTGTGTGTTAAGCTGAACTGGCACCATACTTAATTGTGTCACATATCTATCAAAATATGATTGAACGTCAAGAAAAACTGGAAATAAATGACAAAAATTCTGCAAACCTGGTGCTATGTATCCACAAGACCCAGCTATAACAGACATGGATTTAGTTCCTTTCCCGGTGGCATCAACTACCTTAGCTACTCCAAAATCTGCCACCCTTGCACCGAAGTCCCCATCCAACAAGATGTTATTAGATTTCACATCTCTATGAACAATTGAAGGAACACAGTCGTGATGCAAATAAGAGAGGCCTTCTGCAGCATCAACAGCTATCTTATACCTAGTTGGCCAGTCCAACAACCCTCCTTTATTGCTATGCAGTAAATCACCCAGGCTACCATTCGGCATATACTCATAAACCAATAGCTTGCTATCCCTAGTAGTGCAGCAACACCACAGTTTGACAATGTTCTTGTGCCTAATTTTGCCCAAAGTTTCAACCTCTGCGTCAAAAGCACTGTCTTGATGAAATTGACCCCTCTCCACATCTCCGCTGTCTATATCCTTCTTGACGCCGCCCCATATCTTCTTCACAGCAACCACTTCCCCGCTGGTCAACACAACCTTGTAAACCTTCCCGGAAGACCCACTTCCTATCACATTATCTTCATCCAGGCAATTCAAGATCTCATCTTCGCTGAAACCCAGTTTATGAAACGACATCAAAGTCCACTTTGATTTATCAACAGATCTCTCAGCATTCTTGAAATTCTTGTACCTTAAGTAAAACCAGACAACACCGATGACAAACACCAAAGTGGCAACTATAAAAATAGCTCGCAGAATCCACACAAAACCCTTACCCTTATCCCCATTTTTGCCATCACACAAACCTTTGAAATCCTCGCACAAGCCAGGATTGCCAATAAAACTAGCCCTGTACATATCCTTGGCCAGCAGTGGGGGTAGCTTTCCAGTAAGCCTATTATAAGACAGATTGAGCTGATTGAGCTTCAAATTCTGCAATGCCGTAGGAACATTCCCCGAGAATTGATTGTTGGAAAGATCAAGAAAATTCAACACAGCCAAACTGCCTATTCCATCAGGAATCACCCCACCAATCGCATTATTAGCCAAATTCAAGTCATTCAGTTTCTTCCACGACTGAATCTCCTTGGGGAGCTCCCCGGATAACATATTGTTATGAAGATCAAGAGTGCCAAGCTGCCCGAGATTCACAATACTCCCAGGCAACGACCCACTGAGCCTGTTATCACCACCAGAAAACTCTTGAAGATTTTCCAACCACCCAATCTCCTCGGGGATCACACCAGAGAAATTGTTCTTCGTCAGAATCAACGACGACAAATTCCTCGCCCCACCAATGGTCCTCGCAATCGAGCCACTAAACGAGTTACCCATCAGTTCAAGCAAATACACATGCGGAAGGCCCCACATACCCGCCGGAACCTCGCCGGACAACCGGTTCGTACCCAACCTCACACGCGTCAAGCTCCGACACGAGCCCAAACTCGCCGGTATCTCCCCAGAGAACTGGTTCCCGAGCATCAACATCTCCTCCAACTCGCCGTGATCACAGAGGCTCGCCGGAATCCCACCGAAGAAACGGTTGGTGGAAACGTCAAGCCATCTCAAAGGACCGGACTTCCCTAAATTGTCCGGCAATGACCCGGTGAGTTTGTTCCCGAACAACCTCAGCTCATAAAGGTTGGGCGAGTTAGCAATACTGGGCGGCAACTCCCCGGTGAAACCGTTCTCATAGAGGTTGAGACTCTCGAGAGGCAGACGACACAGCTCATCGGGAATGCTCCCACTCAAATGGTTCATGGAAACATCAAAGAGCCGCAACGAAGTGAGGTTGGAGATTCCTCTAGGCAATTCGCCGGAGAGCGAGTTGTTGTACAACTCAATCTGCTTGACAGTGGTGATGCGAGTGAGCGAACTAGGGATGGGTCCATAGAGGTTGTTGAAGGTCAAATCCAAGACGCGAAGGTTTTTGAGGTTCCCGACGGAGTCGGGAATGGGGCCCACGAGATTGCAAGCGCTGAGCCAGAGCGTCTCTAGATTGGTGAGGTTGCCGATGGAGTGAGGAATGGGGGAAGGGATGAAGGGGTTATAGGAGAGGTTGAGAGTTTTAAGGGAGGTGATATTGAAGAGAGAAGGCGGAAAGACGTCGTCAAGGAGGTTGAATACGAGGGAGAGGGTTTGGAGGTTCTGGAAGGTTCCAAAGGAGGGGGGAACGGGGCCGGAGAAGTTGTTGCCGGTGAGGTCAAGGTAGCGGAGGCTGGGGAGGAGGGGGAGTGTATGGGGGAGGGTGCCGGTGAGGAGGTTCTGGGAAAGGTCAAGGTGGAGGAGAGGGGTGCAGAGGGATATTTGGAGAGGGAGGGTTTGGTTGATGGAGTTGTTGAAGAGAATGATGGAGGTGAGGTTGGGGAGGCGGCAGAGGAAGTTGGCGGAGAATGGGCCTGCAACGTTGAAGTTGGAGAGGTCGAGTGAAGTGACGGCGCTGCTATTTGGGCCGCATGTGACGCCGGCCCAGTTGCATGGGGTGGTGTCGCGGTTGTTCCAGGACGCCAGAGACAAGTCAGGGTCGTCGAGGGATTGCTTCCACTGGTACAGATATAAACCGTCTTGGTTGAGAGCAGAGATGAAAAAGTGATTTTGGAGGAGAAGCACGGTGAAGAGGAAGAACAGAGGAAGCAGGGACATTTTGTTGTTTGGTTTTGTTTTCAGTTCACCAACACTTACAATGCTGCTTTCGTCTTCGTCTCCTCGCGCTGCTGCTAATGCAACTTCCAACTCAACTCCTTTGTGGTTGCTACTACTGCTGCTCACTATCTTTCCTTGCCTTTCCTTCAGCTCCCAGGGACCATTTTGCCTCTTCTTTCTCTATAACCCACCTAGCATCAATGTACCCATTATATAATACTCTTTAAAAAATATTTTTTTTATACAAAAATACATTAAAAGAAGTATTCCATTTTCTTTCAAGGAGGCACTAAGCCAAAGCAGCATTTAGTTCTACAAATTTGGTTGGAGATATTAAAACTAATTATTACCTCTATATTGGGAAGCTGTCTAAAAGAATACTGATGTTTTCGATTGAGAAAAAGCCGTGTAGCTTTTGTTTTGTGAAGTCTACGGCCCAGGGATTACTAGATTTGATCCTGAAGATAAATCTTGTTGTACCAATTTAATTATGGCATACTAGGCAGTCCTCAAATGTACTCAAAATACTATATATATATTACCCTCGAGGTCAAGGTTGCAATCCCCAATATGTGATTTTTCAGATCTACCAAGCCCGTTAGTACACCATAATGATGTCAACTAATTAATTGCCTATATTTAAGAAAACTGATTGAGCTAGTAGTTAGAGGTAGATGCACCATGTGCAAGTCCATTTGGAGCAAAATGTTCTCTTTGAGTAACAAAATGATGTTTTAAGTAATCTATACTGATCATTAGTGTCTGGTCAGAGAAGACAAAAATAACACATAACAAGTATTGTGCTATATATGAAGAAAAGGGTTGTATTTCTCATAATGTATCTCGCATCAAAGAATCAGAAAATAATGACGCGTGACTATCATCAGGCTACAAGGAGAGAGGAAAGGATGTAGTAACAAACAGCAACAACCGTTTACTTTGATAAAGTGCAGTGAAATAGTAACTGTAGTGACTCCACAAAGGAAAAAGCAATGTTAGTGGAACACTGGAGTGTTTGTGCAATGAACATGAATTTGGAGACCGAACCGCTGGGAAAAAGATGCATTACCCGTGCCAGTTACAACAAACACATCATGATGGTTTGTAGACCAAGAATTGCGTAAGAAAAACAAACAACAGTGGAGATTCTTGTATGCTATAGCATATTGATTACGAAGAAGGTTATACAAAACAAAATTTTGAGTAATGTTTTAATGGCATCAAACACTACGCTCAAGTTGTCTATTGGTTTCAAAAAGCTACATTTTTTGCGAATATGTATGATTGTGTCTGTGACTCTAGTTCGTGGTATTTATGAAAGAAATGGAATTCTTTGCGTTGATGTCTGCTTGTTTTATTCAACACGTAAAAGTTAAGAGTCTCAAAGCATTCTTATAGCCAAACAATTTTTTTCATTTTGTATTTGTTAGGTTCAAAATTGAGTTTAAGTTTCATAAGTAAAATTGTATAATCTAAAAAGTTGAATACCGTATAAATTTAAAATTTTGAATTAAATGTAGTATCAACCTTTAATATATTGGTTAGATTCATATTTTATCGATTTTATGTCTTTCAAGTAATCCTCTCTTACAAGATCTATCATTGTGAAGGAAAAAATGCTATTTGGACTCGAATAATTGGAAACAAAGGATATTGTTTGTATTATGCTATTGGGACAGCAAAATCAAACACATAAGATCTGATGGGTTGGGATTTGTTTTTCCATTTTGTGTGAATGATATGGAGGAAATATGAAGAGGCCAAGGTTATGAATTATATAGCAGTGCTTGATATTGTTATATATGATTGAAAGATATATATTGTTGTTATCTTTTGGGAAGGTTCCAGTTAGTGCAATAATTTGCCAAAGTATTATTGGGGGAGTGAATGAATAAAGAAAAAAGAGACAGAAGGTAGGACAAAATTATAAGCGTGAATGAAGAGAAGGATTGTAAAATATTGGATTGGGAAGGGCAACAGTGGATGAGATTGAATAACACGAAGTGAAAGGACATATCTTAGGCTGAGAAAAGAGGAAGAGGACAGAGCTTAATGCAAATGGACAATTCTTAAACGTCTCATGTTTCAATGAAACAGCAATACCGTCAATCTCAGTCAAATGTCGGAAAAACCCGCCATTTTTCCTTCTTTTATTTATGAATTTGAAGGCAGGGAAATTCACTATGGATCAGGAATGACAGCAAGGTAAGGTCAGAAATCGATAGGATATATTTTTTATTCAGTGCGTAACAAAAATTTTATTTCATTATCACGTGATATTTGTTTAAAAAATATTTGCAAAATCTTGCATATACTTGTATATATTTAAAAATATATATTTTATAAATTTTAAAATAAAAATCACAGAAAAATATATAAAATATAATATAAATTTAATTAAATATAAATTAAAATTTAATTTTAATTAATTTAAATTTGATAAAATATAAATTAATTTTAATTTTAATTTAATTTAGTTTAATAAAATGTAAATTAAATTTTTATTTTTTATTTTTTGTGAGCAGCAAATACATCTTGATACGAGTAGTATAATACTCACTCTCAACCTGTTTATAAGCGTAGTATTTTTGTCATCTTACACTATATCATCTTAACTATTCTCTCCATTTTCACTCTTAATATATTAATTGATTTCTTTACTATAAATTGTTTAATGTTTAAATATTTTATATTAGTCAATTTAATTTTATTGAATTTCTTTTTTAAATATAATGTTTTAATCATCACTAAATACAAAAGTCATTGCATCCACATATTCACAAAACAAGTCCTACTTGTTGGAAACCTAATAAATTTTTGTGAGTTGCATAATAAATATTTGAGTAATGGAAGATAATTAAAATAGAATAACTTTGTATTATTTAGGACATCTTCAGAGCTTTTTCAGAGAAACTTATGCTTCGTGATGAATATCTGATTCCTCTCTTTAGTATAAAACTCGTAAATAACATTTTATGCTTAAAATATTTGTTGGAAGTATATCACTTAGTATACTCTAAATTTATTTGTTTCTTAAATATAGTGTATATTTACTGTGAAAACATCGATACATTATACTGAAAAATTAAAATAACTAAAATAAATAAATGAAATTTAGAGAAAGATTTTTCCTTTTCATCTTCTTGTAAAAACACAATAAAAGCATATGAAATAAATAATTTATTTTAAAATAAAACACATTAGGAAGTTAAAGAATTTTGTTTTTAACTGTCCCATCTATTTCCTCAACTTTGACTGTTTGACACAAGTTACGAGAACTCTTAGGACACTCACAATGGTTGATCCTATTCCAATGTGACAAGTATTTTCAAATTTAAGGAGTCGTTCGATAGTAGTAACTATGGATGAAACCTTGGCGTTCAAATTAAGGTCTTGTGTTTGAAAATCAGTATGTAGTCAAATAGGTGTTGTTGAGTTTGCCACATTTTGTTTCGGGGAAGAAGATCGCGTTGATTACAGATAGCTTAGTAGCCTATAAAATAATGATGCACCGTAAACGAGCCATGTTCATTTATCACAAAATTTAATTCATTGAACTTAGAGCATTTAATTTCAATTATCCGCGTATCACATATGGTGTCTTGATCTTCAATTTGTAAGATCTTTCGGGATTTATTAAGGTTATACTTTAAGTTTTGAATACTTAAAAAAAATATCTGTTTAAGATTGTTTAATAAAAACCAAGAAACAAAAGGACACTTAAATGATAAAAAGATTAATACTTTATTCTTAAAATAAAATTTAAATATAAAATTTTATTTCAAAATTTCTCCACAAAAGTTAAATATAATTTAATTAGGGATTTAGAAAAATATGAGTATTGTAAAGAGATGTGAAAGTTTTGTAAAATTTTAAGACAATAAATTTATCATTTATGAATCATTTTATTTATATATTAATCATCTTATTTATTTTTATTTAATTTAAAACTTTCAATTTATCTTGAATTCATAACCATACTGACCTCTAATTATGGAAAGTCAGTACTAAACAACCTAAAGTCACTATTTTTGTTTCTTATGAGTTTGCATTATTGATATTACAGGTGATGGTGCTTGTCGTGCACCTTTCTGTTAGACACTTTTTGTGAGTGAAACCTCTTGAACCACTTTTTCTCCTTTGGTTTGGTAGATGGTATAACAAACATATGATATGATTTTGTAGTGGGGAAGAACAAGGAATCATGACTGATTGTAAATGTGTTTTTTTACACTTTATACCATTGCTTCTCATATCTATGCATGTATACAAAATCATACAAAAAAAGCGATTACCTTACACAATTTGGGGAGTTATATACGAGAGAGTCTTTGTTTATACAGAGACAAAGTCATTTTTAACACATTACAGAATATTTAAAAGCGTTTTTCATTATACTTTCATGGTTTGTGAAATTTTACTTTTATACAAATACCATTAGCATTAGGAATGACAAAAAAATCTCTATCTATGGATACTTTGGATAAAATATATAACGAGTACTAAATATATATTAATAGATTTTGGCAAATAATGAACACGGGTATTTAATTATATACTTACTAATGAAATTGCTTTATATTTAAGAAAAGATGAATTCAAATGCTTCAAAAGATTTGGTAAAGGAAAAAGAAAACAGTAAAAAGGGTGAATGTGTATAGTAATGCGTTATGTAAGATTTTACTACACAACTTTTAACAAAGACAAACAGTTGCCAAAAAGGAGTTGCGAAAGAAAGAGCATGAATTAATTATTCACTCCTTTATTTTAACTTTATCAAGAAAATACACAATAATAGTCTAAATTAATAATGTAGGTCGTTGTCCAGGCTAATTAAGTGGACTATTAAAGCACTTTGTTGTCGTCCATGACGACTTAATTAAATCTGCTTTTTTATAATAAAATCAGAAATAGAAAAAATAGTAACAGGTTTCTCATATTGTTTTGTTTGTCGGATGCAAAAGAATTTAGTGGTCCAAGAAACAGAAACCCATCTAAATATTTTCCTGATCCCAAGATGTCACACACTCTCACTAGCATCATCCATTAAGAAAACAACAATTATGAGAGACTTTAAAGGCAAAACCTTTTAGAAGAGTACAGCGCAGCCAGGTTCACATTGAAAGATATACGGTGGAGCCCCAGGGGAAAATCTGCGGGGTCTATAACTAATAGCTTTTACAAACTTTGAGGCATGTTCATGGCCCTTGTTCATTATATTAAGCTAGACAAAGTTACAAAAGCCTAGTACAGCAGTAAAAGGTAATGGTTCCAACCCATTTTAGCCTGTTCCACTCACATACATACATTATTGTCGTCTTATATTTCAACTATTTTCAAACCTTTTTTCTCTCTCTAATAGTGCTACTTTGCAACCACTGTTTTGGGAATTCTTTTTCCCCATTTTGGTGTGGCTTTCTCTTCTTTTCGTACGAAACC